AAAGAGAGAATGAGAGAAAAGGGGGATTTCTGGATCATGTGCTGGCAATATAAGAAAAAGGGGAGGTGTTGGGCCTAGGAGCATTAGCAGCAAGTTGTACAGGAACAGGGATGGATGGATGTCATTCCCTCCTAATTTTCTGTTAATCCAGAAAGGACTGAGATGCTGCTACTCAATCATAATGCTGACCAACATTTAAGGATACTCTTATTCTGGACATAGTTACCCTTCCACTGAAGGAGCATGTTCATATTTTGGGGGTGCCATTAGATCCTGGCCTACAGCTTTGATTGATGGGATTTGGCCATAATTAGGTTTGCTCTGATCACACCTAGAATGGATTACCACAATGCCCTCCAACATATTTCTCTAGTACTACAAGAAGTACAAGGGAATTAGATAAGCATATGGAGCAGAGGTCCATCAGTGGCTATTAGCCACAAGGTATAGATAGGGACTCTGGGGCAAGTGATGCTCTGTCATCTTGGTGCTTGGGGGGGGGGTCAACAGTGGGAGGGCTTCTAATGTCCTGGCCCCACTGGTGGACCTCCTGATGGCACTGGTATTTCTGGCCACTGTGGGATACAGAGTGTTGGACTGGATGGGCCTTTGGCCTGATCCAACATTGGCATCTCTTATGTTCTTATGTTCTTAAGTGCCCTCACTGCCTATCTGGTTCTGGGTACCATTCAGCATGTTGGTTTTTACCTTTAAAACTTCAAATTGTTTGGGACTAGGCTACTTAAAAGACTGCCTTCTCCAATGCATGCCTATTTCAGGAATGATGTCAATGATTACCATGGAGAAAGACTTCTCTGTAGTTGTTCCTCATCCACAGACTACTGTCCCTTGAGCTTGTGCCTTACCTTTTTTCTTTCAGGGGCAAGGTCATTTTTAAAACATTACTAGAAAACGAGTCATCCTGGTTTATTTTACAGCAGTATTGCTTTTGACATGAAGTATCAGGGTATCTTCTGCTTCAAACCCAGAAATCTGTGATTTACTTAGAACTTTCTGAAAATACATTCTTGATTCACAATCCTAATGTACAGAAGAATTCAATGCAAGCTGTTAATTTACAATGCATTTGAAAACAATGTTCACATAATGGACTGTTATTTTCATAAACATCTAAAAAAGAACTCATCTGTTCAATTATTCACTGCACTTGAAAGGTAGTTCCTAATTGTTTTATACAATGTGGAATATATAAATACTTGCTGGGTTTTCTTACTTTGAGGACCATTATCAAATGAAAATAAATTTAATTCTTCTATTTTGCTCCCCTGTGTTGGTGTTTCTTGCTACTATCATCATCACTCAAAACGTATCTTAAGAATATATTTGGTATGACTAAGAAGTGTCAGCGTTATAAAACTATGTACATAATTTAAGAAAAACATCTAAAGGAAACTAAAATAATTTTCACACATTATATTAAAAAAAACCTTTGATCCTTTTCCTATTTTGTCTCTTGTAACTATTGTGAGAAAAAAAGGATTTGAAGTCACATTAGAAAGCAAGTTAATCTACAACTTATTCAAGTGTCATTGTGAAAATATGCTGAGACCACACAATATTTTTCTTAAATATAGCATCTGAATGTCTTTTTTAAATTAAAGGTAAATGTAGTGTCCATGGGCAATAAGCAATGTTCCCTCTAAGCTAAGTTACAGTTTTTTTAGCCTCCAGCTCACACATTTTTGTCTTAGCTCAGGAAGGATGGCTCCAGAGCAAACTTATTTATCCAGTAGCCAAATCACTTGCTCGCAATTTTAATGCCAGTAGCTCACAAAGTAGAATTTTTGCTCACAAGACTTCACAAAATATGAAAAATCCCTTTTCACTTAATGCAGTATATTCATAGTTTAATGATTATGTTTTGAATTAGGAGAAAACATAGCCTTAGCCATAAAATTATCAATTTGCCAGTTAATTACCACTTTGCATGTTTGTGTTTAAAGTGGGATTTTTAATCTGGAACACTAAACAAGTGCACATCAGTGTTTTCAATGGATTACACTCTTCCCACAGGTCCCAGGAAACACCAGCTTTGGGCATAAACCCAATATTTAATGCCAGAACTGAACTAATGATCTTCTGATCCTGATGTGAGATTATTATAGGATTATCACAAGATAATTAGAAAGAATGACAACCATGTAAATATGAGCATGCTCGATTACAAATTTGGCATCAGCTTCTGAAAACAAACACACACACACCTCACCATCTCTGAAAACCTATTCGATCTTGCTTGATTCTTGAACTTTAGGAAGCAAGGGATTAAAAGAGTTCATTAACTAAAGCAATCTCTGAACAAAACGAACTCTTTTTGTTGTTGCTTCTTGCCTTAAGGACTGAATCATAAGCGGGTTTGATGAATTCCAATTGGTGTAAACATTTAGGTGGAACTTTGATAGTTCTACATGTGGCATTTATAGAGTGGTGTGGGGCACCCTTCCATAAATGCCAATCATGCCATATGCTATTCAGCCGTTTCAGTTACCATTAACCGAGACCGAGGATGCACTTTTAACCATGACTGCAGAAATTTTACCTTTCCCCCCCCCTTTTTTCAGCAATTCTGCCTTGTGAGGGAAACGGTGAGGTATAACTGTTCCGTTTTAAGAGATCTTAAGCACGCAGTACGTAGTATGGGGACATCCTATTTTTAAGGCACACATTTTAACCATCCTGATTAGCCGCTACCACGGGGAGCACCGACGTAATTTCTTCGCATTCATCAAACTATTCTGGGAGTCGCTCGCCAGAAAAACTTGTCGCCAGAGAGGTAGCCGCCGGTGTGCAGGCCCTTATCGTTCGCTTCTTGTCTCTCCGCCCGAGACAGTCAAAATGCCCCAAACTGGGGCTGAGGGGAGTTTCCCTTCTTTCTGTTCCCACCCCGTCAAGGCTAGGGCGGGCCTGCAGTGACAGCTCCGGGGCAGCGGGGCTGGGTGAAGGCGGGCCGTGCCCTCAGTGAGAAGGCTGCCTAAATCGCAGGGCCGCCGCCGCCGCCGCCTCAGTCAGAAACAGAACGCACAACGTGCGACCCAGCATGGCCCGGCAAGCTGCCTGCCTGTCCTCCTGCTGTTGCTTCTGGGGTCTTTTTCTTCTCTGGGCCGTAGCGGAAACTCGAGCAGGTGAGGAGCTCAGACAAGATAGCCCCGGCTGGAGACGTGGCGGTGGGTGGCGGAGCGGGAGGACCCCAAAGACCAGGAAGGGAGCGAGGCGAGCTGCCGTAGAGTCCCGTTTCTGGGGCATTTTCAAGGGTCCGTGGTGGAGGCACTGAGGCGCCCAACCCTGAACTGGAGAGACAGTGTGAAATCGCCTCAGACATTCCTTCGGAGCCCCGCAGAGAAACTCTGCTCTGCGTTTCTCGCTTTTCCCTCACGCTCTAAGTTTTCCGGTGACGACCTTGACGCAAACCCCCCCCCCCCCCAGACAGTTTTAGAAAACTTTTTTCTTACAAAAAAGAAAAAAGAGAAAAAAGATACCGAAACGTCCTTCGTTTGGAACTAATGTCGAGCGTTGACCGGTTGTGGCTGCTGAGTCTTAAATTTAAAAAGTTAAATGTATTCTGGAATCGCGGAGACAGTTTTCCGTGGCTATAGATTTATATGGAGCTGAAGTGTTCAAAAAAACCATTAGGGTCAAGGAAGGTATTTCGTTTTAAAAGTTTTATTATTTGAGGTTAAAAAAATAAAAATAAAATCAGGAGCGCCCCCCCCCCCTCCTGTCCTGGGACTTCTGCTGTACTTGGAAAGAGCTATTCCTGGACGTTGGACGTTTGTTTGGCAGTACAGGGGTCCCCAACCTTTTTGAGCTGTGAGCACCTTTGGAATCCTCACACAGGATGGTGTGTGTGGGGGGGGGTGCAACTACAAAATGGCTGTCACAGGAGGCAGAGCTGTGCACAAGGAGGAAGCCCAAGTGCAGGGGAGAGGGGGGTAAGTTTAAAAATACACACAGGGAAACAGGAGTGACCGAGAATAAAATCACCACTGTGGTGGCAGCTGTAACTGAAACAATGTTATTGTAATGTGCACAGCCAGTCAGACCTCCAGTGACCAATCAGAAGCCCTGCTAGGCAAGAGCCCCACCTGGCTCCACCCACTCTAAAACAGTTGGTGGGCGCCAGGAAAGGTGCCATGGCACCCATGAGCATCACATTGGAGACCCCTGCTCTAGTACCTGCTCCTTCATTTAGGAATTGAAAAAGTACATTAGCAGTACTTCCCCCCCCCCCCAATGATGGATTAGATTTTTAAAAGTTTGCACATCCACTCTGTATAAACTATTATCTACATAACTTGCAAGAGATTTTCATCCTCATCTACCAGCTATATAGAAAATTCATGGCATCCTTGTTCTGAATTTGAGCAACTGTAAAACACCTACCGGATACGAGACAACATCAGGATACATCTATGGTGAACTGTGATCAATTTTCACATCACATCATAAATTCATACTCATGCCATGGTTGGAATTTTTATCTTCTAGGTGAAGTTCTATTTTATGTGCTTCTAAAAGGGAAAAACATCCATTAACTAAAAGATGATTATGCCATTGGAAGGAAAACTTTTTAGAACATAGTACATGGGTTTGCAATAGTGCTTGTAGGTTTAGAATATAGGTTATAATTAATCTGCATATGTTGCAACTCTGAATTATGGAATATGAAATTCCAATATTATAATTGTACAAACAATTACTCAAAGGTATAGGCTTCCAATTATTCAAAGATATAAAGCGTCACAAGGAAGGAACAATGAATGGTCAACACCTATTGCAAAGCATGTAAAAGCAGCCAAAACGTTTTTTTGGAGTTGCTCCCAATATTTAACCGTGGACAGTGTAGTAACGAGGTCCAAATAGATATGGTGGTGGTCACAAGAAAAACAAACACCTTCACATTTAAGCACTCCACTGTATTAAGGGCCAAAACAGGCATGATGGTAGCTGCCCCCCAGTTCTCTCCTTGTCCCTCCCTGGTGCTCACCATGCATGAGACAATCCCCATTCAAAGTGTGGGGCATACAGCACATGCCCCATAAAAACTTTCATTCCTTCTCGTCCTCAAAACAGTACAGTGAGAACCACACCCAGCTGCATTTTAAAAGTACATTTAAGTTTATTTAGTTAGTGGATTTATAACCTGCCCTCCCCTGCATAGCAGGGCTCAGGGTGGGTAACAATAAATTAGGTTGAAAACCTTTAACAAACATTTAAAACAACTCTTTTTTAATTTATATTGGGTACATAACATACAAGTCCAGATCTCAGAGGGTAGCTGATTCTATCAGGCCACAGCTCAAAAGGCCCTGACCCAAGTTAATCACTTACCCGTTGACTGTAAGGAATTTAGTGCTGGAGACTGAAAAAATGTCCTAGTAATAAAGTGTACCTCAGTGATACTTGGAGGCTGGACAGCAGGACCAGTTCCAGGTTTTGGGGGACCCTGGGGAAAGTGTCAAGAGCCTTCCAGGCAGCCCCTCTGCCCACCACCAACTCTCTGCTTCCCTCCTCCTGTATGCCCCCACCTGCCCACCACTCAAACTCACAGCTACCCTCACTGCCTGCACCAATGTTCCCTCTAAGCTGTGGAGTCTTGTGAGCAAAAATTATACTTTGTGAGCTGCTGGCATTAAAGTTCTGAGCGAGCGATTTGGCTACTGCATAAATTAGTTTGCTCTGGGGCCCTCCTTCCTGAGCTAAGACAAAAATGTGTGAGCTGGAGGCTAAAAAACTGTGAGCTAGCTCACACTAACTCAGCTTAGAGGGAACACTGCCTGTAGCTGGGAATGCTGGTAGCAGAGTGCTTGAAAGTGAGTGGGTATGGGAAGGGCACAAAGGCAGGTGATGAGGAGGTGCATGGACAGAGAGCTGGTGCCAGTGGGCCCCACCAGAAGACCTGGGCTCCAGTGACTGCCACACCTCATGGGACGCTGATGCTGGCTTTGCTCAGGAGCCACATGTGTCTCCTTATGTTTCAGGAAAGTGAGCAAGACCCTTGCCCCGTGGGGCTTGTGGTTAGCAGATGGTTCCCACCTTAAAATAGCTGCTTTTGTAAGCTGCAAGCTTCCCTGAGGTGCAGACCTCTTACCAGGAGTGGAAGTGCATGTAGCTCTGTTGGGTGATGGCTCTCTGCGAGTCATTGAGTGAGTATCACTGTTCTAGTTAGAGATCAACTGAACAAGGGTTGAAAAGGGCCTGGGGAAATGAAAGGGCTGTTAATAGAAATAGAAAAACCAGTGTCACACAAAACCTAACATTCCAGTATTCAATTGAAACGGCCATTGTTTTTTGCCTGTGTATTCACAGAGGCGCCTGTCTACCACTGCTGCTTAGCCAATTAGAGTTCTTAGGGCTGAACAATTGAATCCCAACAACCAATCCACACATCTTGTGGCTAATGCTCTGAGGTGGTCTGGAAGTTACATTATTGTGGGTTTTAGAAACTCTAGCAGACCTCACCCCTGATTCCATCCTCTTCTCCTGAGGAGGATAGTCTTTGCCCATATTCCAGGGAAGCAGAGATCTTTATTATTGTATTACCTCAAGGGGTTTGGAAAGGGCTCACCCTCTGTCTTTATTATTTGCAGACCAGGGAACCCCAGTAGGGATGGGCATGAACTGGGAAAATGGTGGCTTTTGGTGGTTCACGAACCACCACAAACCTTTCAGTTTAATGAATGGGTTCATGGTTCATGAGGTTTGTGACTTCAGGATGCAGTAGAATGGCCCCCCTGCAAGCTAGAGATGTCAAACTCACAGTGAGTCTCCAGCCAACTCTCCTCTACCTGCCCTCCAGGTTTGGTGAAGGTTGGATTTAGGGAACCAAGTTACAGCCCCCTATAGCAGGTGCCTCAGGAAAGTGCTCTCTTGGGACCCCCTGCAAGCTAGAGATATTAAACCCATGTAAGACCTCCCTGGGCTGCCCCTCTACCCGCCCTCCAAGTTTGGTAAAGATTGGATTTACGGGGGGCAAGTTATAGCCCCCTGAAGCAGGTGCCCCCAGGAAACTGCTCTCTTGGGAAATCACAGCTACAAGTTCTGGAGTGTGTTGAATGGATCCCCTGCAACCTAGAGGCATCAAACTCACAGAGGACCTCCCCGGGATGCCCCTCTTCCTGCCTTCTAAGTTTGGTAAGGTTTGGCTGTGTGGGGGCTGAGTAGCAGGCCCCCCAAATAAGGTGCCCCTCCGAAAAGTGCTCTCTGGGGAAATCATGGCCACAGGTTCAGAAGTGTATAGACCGGACCCCCTGCAAGCTAGAGCCATCAAACTCACAGCAGACCTCCCTGGGATGCCTCTCTACCTGCCCGCCATGTTTGGAGAGGATTGGCTGTGGGGTGTGTGTGAATAATGCCTACCTCCTCATCATAGACATTGTTGCTGCAGATGGGCAATCTTTCTCCTTGGGCCTGGGAGGTGGTCATCTGCCCACTTGTCCCTGGTGAATGGGTTTGGGGAGTGGCCCGCCACACTTCCCCTTGTGCCTGGGAGCTGATCACCTGGGTATGGAGATGGTTTCTGGGGGTGGCCAACCCTTCTCCTCATGCCCTGGAAGTAGTCACCCGCCTGCCTCCCCTTAGATCCTGGAGGTGGCGAACCACCTTGGGCCCAGGAGGCATTCACCCGCCTGCCTCCTCATTGTGGACATTGTTGCTGTAGATGGGAAAATCTTGGGTGCAATCAAACCAGTTTGCTTGTACGAGTGGATTTTTGACAAAGTAAAGGCTTTTATAGGTGGATATCGGTCCACAAGATAGGTGTTGTGCCATGAAGTAGATCTTGGTTCGTGAGGTGGGTGTTGCTCTATGAGGTAAATGTCGGTCCATGATGTAGGTATTGTGCTATGAGGTAGATCTGGGATCATGAAGTAGGTATTGTGCTTTGAGGTAAATGTTGGTCCACGAGATAGGTGTTGTGCTATGAGGGAAGATTGGGGAGACAGATATGGTGAAAAGATGTGTGGACAGGGGGAGGTTTGAAGTGACGATTCTTGGGGGAACACAGCTTGTGAGGAGGGGGTGTTAAACTATCCCAATGAAGGGGGGTGCGGTTCCTCAGCCAAGGAAGCTGGGACCCTATGCTTTGCTATAGCAGAGGGACAGATGGTGGCTCAGGCTCACAGCC